ATCCTTTGTGTTCGAAATGGTCAGGGAACCCCCTGTCGCGCTCTTGACGTCCCGGAACCCCCTGCCGTCCTCGGGCCTGAGGAGCCAGGACGCGAAGCGGAGCTTGTTTGACTGGCTCCCCAACAAGCAAAGACTCGCGTCAAAAGACAGTGCTAAGTCGTGAGATTGTTTGGTAAGCAGTCGTGTGACACCAAGTGGTTAGTCGTGTGACACTTATTCTACCTTACGTCACGACTTACGCAACTGACTTACGTAACCTACGATTCTGTGCGTGAAAACATGGGGAGAAATCAAAAGGTTGAACAGCAAGCAAACAGTGTTGCTTCATGAGATTAGATGATGATTATGATGAGGACGATGACGATTCTACACCCCCGAGAGTCAAATGAACACTGCCACGAGAACTCCCTGTGGCCTAATAGGACAGGAATCGGACAGGACAAATACCAGGACACATGACACAAGCTTGACAAACATATGTGAAACACGGAAAATGACAATGTGTTGGATTCCACAAAGAGGAAGAATTCAATCACTAATTGAGCATGTTTCATGCTGGATGGTTTGGTGATCGGCAGTTTTTAAGCACACATGGCTGTGGGTCAAAAGCAGGAGAGCTTGGTTGACCTACCTGGAATGCCAAGCTACATGGTGGACTGGTCGGGCTCCAGGTTTTGACCGATCCCACATAAACACATGAAGAACTAAACATAATTGTTCTCTTGCCACCTCCAATACAACACTCATCCACTCTCTTGACGGTTGAATAGTGTACCATACTCGCAACACCAGCTATTCCTTTCAGTAGAGTCACACTCCCCACTTACCTTTGCGGATGCGTGTACAATACTTGCCATTGCGACGGACTCGGACATCCTGTCGCCTCCGCCGGCGGAGCGGCCTCTCACCAAGCTCTTCCAGCGGGAAGGAAAAGGCCGTGGTGTTCAAAGGCCTCGACTTGTGAACCCGAACTCAACACACAGAGCCAAAAAAAATGTGAACAAATAAAAAACAACAAATAAACAAATAGGAAAAACAAATCCACACTCAGGAGAACAGGTCTATATACCTAGGACAGGACTAAAAAAAAAACAAAACAAGACTCAAATCCAGAGTCTTAACCCAGACTCAAAAAAACAGACTGGCTCAAATCCAGACTCAAATTCTTTGTTGCCGAGTCCGGATTTGCCTTTTTTCCCTCTGTTCAACCTTCTGCCATGGTGAAATTCCATCCAAGTCTTTTTTCTGATTTCTATATATTTCTATGCGGATTATTTGTTTAGTCTGGTGTAGGTTTCAAGTGCTTGAGATCCAGTTTGAGTTTGGTGTTGAGTCACCTGCTGCTTTCTGGGGGCTAGGCTAGGGTGGGCTGGAACCTGCGTTTTCCCTCAGAAAAAAAAACAAATCCAGACTCAAACCTAGACCCAAACCCAGACTCAAAAAAACAGACTGACTCAAACCCAGACTCAAACCCAGACTCAAATCCAGACCCAAATCCAGACTCAAACCCAGACTGACTCAAATCCAGACTCAAATTCTCTGTTGCTGAGTCCGGATTTGTTTTTTTTTCCTCCGTTCAACCTTCTGCTACTTGAGTCTTCAGTTGAGTGTGTTTTTGTGTTTGGTCTTGAGTTCTGGTTTTGGGCTGAGTCTAGGTTTGTTTTTTGTGTTTTGAATTTTTCATCTCGAACCTCTTCTGTGTGTGTGTTCGGGGTCACAAGCCTCGACGCTGAATTGGCGTGGCCTTTGAAACCGACCGTGGCCTTGGAAAGGCCGCTCCTCTTGGTCATGCCAAGAGAAGCGGCCAAAGAAAAACAAACACAAAGGCGAAACAACAATCATGGTCGCGTTCATTGTTCGGAGTGACCAAACACCCCAATTCCAAGCTCCTTTTCAATAATGGACATCATACGGACATCACATATCAAGAGTGTAAGACCCCAGAGACTCCCTTGTCAACGAGAAGTATCAAACTTCACTCGCGCATTGAACCTTCAGAAGCATTGACTTCCCAGTAGGAACCAGAGTGATTCACAAGGTGCCACCTCTTGACATTTCCCAAAAATCCTTGTGAGCGTCCCCATGGGCCGCGAGAAACATTTTAGTCGATCTGCCGAAGGGTCCCATGATGAATCAACTAGAAGGCGGCACGGTACGCATCATGAAGACTGTTGATCAACAAATATCAACAACCCCTCCCATATGGGGAGGTTTCACAACCTCAGCAGAATCCAGAAATATCTAGAGTGAATCCAGAAATCGATGACTAATTGTCTACACATGTCAACATGTATAGCGGAAATTCAGAATCCAGAATCACCTCGATTGGGAGGCGCTCCATCAAGGCGCTCCTTGGCGACACCTGTCGATGCAGTACCTGGTGTATTTGGTGGAGATACATTTCGGGCAATCCTTCACAAGCCACCACGGCAAACTAGTATTACGGGTTAAAGGCCACCCAACCAGTAGGGGTTCATGATTCTGATATATTGCATGATATGGCATTATATTGCTAATATCCATATCGGCATGCTCGCTACATGTTACATTCCTCATATTGGCTGTTCTCTCTTCGCGTCTCTCGCCTCCCCGTCTTCACCGTCATCACCCCGCCCCACGACTCGCCGTTCGATCGTCGCCTCTGAGAGGATGAGACCGAACTGGTGCTGTTCTGACCTCGCGGATGCGACCGCGTGGCGGTCTGAGCGCACAGACGAACCGCGCCACAGTGTTGGGGTACCACGCGGCCACTCGCGATCGGGACGTATATAATTGATGGCCCCGGAGAAAAGCGGGGGGCGAAGAACAAGGTCGAGTTCATCAGGTCTTTCTGGGGGTGGGGTGCTGATGGACCTTGAACAGTTACTTTAATCATTTTAGTGAGCCCTACCCTGAGAGGCGTGTGGTCTGACATTTGTCCTGCCGTGAAGTCTGACATGTGTTCTGACATATCTTCTGGCATGTACTTCTGACATGTGCTCTCGCACCAAACTGGCATCTGCTCTGATATGTATTGTGACATATGCTCCGACTTCGGTTCCGTTCTGCCCTGCATTCCGACTTTTGTTCTGCCATCAATCTCACCACTTGCTCTGACATATGTTCTGACATAGTTTCTGAATATGATTTGGCATTCTATCTGGCATATCTTCTGACATCCTTTCTTGCATATCTTCCGGCATTATTTTTGGCATATCTTCTGGCATCTTCAGACATCCTTTGCATTATTTCTAGAATATCTTCTGACATTCTACTGGGAAAAGCACAAGTCAAGGAGTTTCTAATCTACAGTACCGTATCTACGTTGAAGTGATCACCTGGCGTTTTCCACATGTGGCCAGCAGCATCCGCTGTCATGGTCCTTCTGCAGATGGCAAAAATAAGAATCAGCTGTGCAACTGGTCATCAGCTGTGGTTTCTGTCTGGCATGTAGACTCACAATGCCTCTCTTCTTTTATAGGCATGGCCCTTTAAACAACCAAGAAGAAAAGAACGAACACCTTCGCGGATGGAACGCGCCACAAAGGGAATGAAGGCCCAGCGGCCGTGCATAAGCATGTGAATGGTTTGTATCCGGTGGCAATGAATTGCGTGCAGCACCCTAAACTGCCTTAAAGACTATTATATACCCTAGGATTCCAACCACCATTAATTCAATAGGCTTTACCGAACAAGCATTGTTTTACTAAGGATTTTACACTACAAACGTCATTTAAAACTAGTCTTGGACTCCCAGGGTATATACATATGGTATATATATATTTATACTATACATACACTTCTGGTGAGCATTCCCAGCCCCAATGCCCCTCGTCCGCGCTTCACGGCTCGCCTCCCAGGCTCTCCATCCGAAGCTGGTGGCGTCAAGCGCCCATGAACGGACGCAGCGTCAACGCGCGTTCGGAAAGGCCGGAGGTCCGGTGGATTTCGTGGATTTCTGTGGGAGTTCTGGTGGTGTGGCCACTGGGCTGTCGGTTTCAGAGTGGATTTCGTGCTTTGATACTATCTGATACTCAGGTTCTCCCTGCATAATGCACCTTGTATGCTTTTGGGTGGCCAGGTCAAAACGGCATTCATGTTTGCTCTTTGGATCCTAGAATCCATGGAGTGCAGTGTACTGCGTTCGTACTGCAGGAGTGTAATTTTGAGTTGTTAACTTTGATCATGTAGATCTACACCAGATCTAACCAGACTCTCTGGGCTAGGCAAAAGCTTGAAAGAAGCTCTATATTGTATCATTTGGATAATGGTCCCCATACCTAGAGACTCAGAAGAACAGCAGAGTACTGCAGGGATCATTGTCTCGTTCTTCACCTAAGAAGTGACGTCATGACACTCTTGATGAACATAAGATAGGCTTGAACTTTACTGTTGTCATGCAACTCATGTCTCTGCTGTTGTCGATGCCGTTGCTGCAAATCGAACCAGCCCTTCACAAGCCACGACTTGCAAAGGACTCAGGACTCAAAATGACCCGTGCACACAATACCTTTCAATACATATACTACATAGAAACCTCGGCGAGAACTTATGGGACATTATGGGACACTTCACAAAATCTTATGCCTTCGAACTCGACTCTCTTTGTCTAAAGTGGTCTCACTAGCTAAACGGTTGTACTGCCTGTTTGAATGGCTTTGAACCAGGCTGCTTGCGGGACAAGAGTCGTGTCCCGAGGAAATCAATCAACTGTTAGACGATTCAATACTTGTGTTCACAATTGCTATCATGTGCTTATCTGAACATATCGGAACCATCTTCCTGAGAATTCAGGGTACCTCTCAATATATCATAATTAATATATATATATATAATTATATATAATATTATATATATAATATGTGTATACAGTATGTATACACTTAGTTCCTCCCACTTCTGCACATCCACCCAACCACTGGGTCAACTGGAGGCCAAAGGCCCATCGCCACAGACCCACCTGCCACGCCCCGTCCCCACCGTCGCCCCGTGGTCCCCAACTGCTCCGGTTCCCAGCGCACATCTGCCCTTGGCCGCCCAAGTCATCGATGTCAACCTCATCGATGTTCAGCTGCTTGGCCTCAGAGCGACGGCTCGGTCAGCTCGGTGAAGCTGAGCCAAACGGATAGAGCATGTCCCAAACAGTCACAATAAGGCACAATGATGTCCGGCCTATGAAGGGAGTGAGCGGTCGATGTCAGGTACCATTAATATACACTATTTTTGCATCCTATTGCTTGTTCACGACCGGGGTGTATTTCCTCTATTCACCATCAACCAACCAATAGGAAAGGCCACAGATAATTCTCCATGAATGACTTAGAGTTGAACGTGCCCAAAGTGAGTTGTTGCTATTTTATGCTCTGTTAAAAGGACAAAACTGGCCGAGAAGACGGCCCAGCGTTATCACTGTTCGGTTCCCAAGCGATGCAAATGGCTTCACTTCCGAGGATGAATCAGAATGAAGTGATCTGCTTTCCACCAGTGGGTGTCCTCAGTGGGTGAATGCGACTAGAGGTTCTTAGTTTGACTCGCTCATGTTCCTGGAGCAGTCAAAGTACCATCTCCCACAAAGTTGGTAGCTTGGACTTGATTGCGGTGGACATCTAAGATGCAACATTGATGAATGCCCTCCTTCTTGAGCAAAACCCAGTCGTGTTACTTGGCGTTGCAGCGTTTTTGCTGACTTCTAGGTTGGGTGCGCGGGTCCAGGGTTTCTATGCCAAAATTGCACTGCGAAACAACAACAACCAATCAACCCAGGCTTTGTGTTCTTGGGCACATGTTGGCTACTTGTGCTTCCTGAACGAATGTGTAGGTGATATTTCCAAACGCGCCACGTCTTGGGAGGGAAGCTTCGTGTAGAGAGAGACCATGACAGACTCCTGACAGACCCACTTCAAGTCAAATGTCTGCCTTGCAACACCCAACACATTGTAGGAGCCTATGGACCCAATGATTTTCGACAAATAGAGGCTTGCTCTTTCTCCTAAAAGAACGAACCCAACCTCTCCAGCGTGACCAAGCACCCAAAACGCAGCATGCGTGCCTTTTTCAGTGGCCTTTCCCTGCAAACCATGACCCACCATCTGGTGCCTTTTTCACCCTCCACAGGTTGGAGGACGATCTATCCGTCTCTTAAACTGATCGGTCTTTCATCGTCCTCCATCCATGTCCATCTCATCGAGACTTGTTGTTTTTTTCCGTCGCAAAGCTCCGTCGCAAAGCTCCGTGGATGGACGCCCCAGGATCGGATCGGCGATCAGCTCCGAAGCTCTCTTCGTCCGTCCGTTTGATCGTCCGGCGAGGCGATCAGCAGTCATTGGTGACATAAACTCCCGTGCCCTACTCTTCCTCCAGGAGGTTCACGTAGGGCCGGACATCATCATATGAGCGGCCAACGGTGCGGGCTGCGTCTGCAATCAACTCTTGCAAATGCCTCAGGGCAAATCAAGGCCACACTACACCCTCAAATTGCTCCAAACATGCAAGGTAATGTGGAACGACGGAGCTGTAACTCAGCACATTCAGGATGCACTTTGGCACAGGCCGTTGTAGTGGGCATGTTTAAATCAGTTGCAGCCCAATTCTTCAGGAGCTACATGAAAACATCCCTGTGGAGTTCGACCATGGCACGTATCCGAAACAGGGAGACCTGGGAGACGTGGGAGACCGGGCTGATGACCACTACAATCTCAAGCACTTGGCTTTCAGCTCATGCTTGTCCCTGACTTGTTCATCTCCGCATAACCTGCACCTCTCTGATGCAAACTGGATTTAGACAAGGCAGAGTCAATTGAGCCCAAAAGACCGTGACCCCCGAGACAGCGGGGCCTCGAAACTGGCATGGCCCTGTTGACGGCGTTCAGCGGTCGATACGCTCGGATCCAGCCATTAGAGCATCGCGAGCATTCAAACTCCAGAATTGTAGATTTCTGAACTTCCATGTGCTTGGCACTCAGGTACTTGCGTAGGGTAGAACTTTATTTAGTCTGGCTCCATATCGGACTGAGCTGCACTGTTTCACGATCAAACTATTCAATTCATGATGGATTTGTTTAGGAAGCACCTATATTGCAGCAAACTGCAGCGGATGAACACAAGTCAGCTGCTGAGCCCTGGAAATTGTGTAATCAGAATCAATCCAAGCAAGCGGCTGGACAGGTCAGAGCAATGAACAAAGAATGCCCATCCGAGGCGAGCCACGCGGGATCGATCGGTGGATGGATGGGACTCCGGGCTCTGAGAGATGTCACGTTTCATTGTGTTGATCCCGATTTACTTCGACCAAATCCGCCAGGGCGGCCAATGGATTTTCCCTGCAGATCAAGGCCATCAATTGTCCATCGGGCAGAACTGCTTGAAGACTTTGGGGGCAAACTTTCAATTCACACGCAAGGCGTTTGTGAGTCTCCACGGCCAGGTCAAACGCATTTGCCTCCAAGCGCAACACCTCGAGCCCTGCCAAATTCCAGCATCTCAGCACAGCTGTATCATCTGAGAAAGACACACTAAGTTGCAACACGTAGTCTTTAGCAAGCGGTGCACAATTGCAAATGTAGCAACGGCTGGCAGCTGCAAAAGTTAAGAGCTCACGCCACGACTTCAAAGATGGAATGCTGCATTGTCCGTAATTGTTTCTTCCACAAGCAACAGCCCTGCCATCGCTTCGGAGCAGCACTGTATGAAATCTGTATGTGGAAACCTCGGTGTAGAACGTTCCCTCGTCCAAAGGCGGAACGCTGCACTGACCTGCATGGTTCGATCCGCAGGCCACAGCGGTGCCATCACTTCGCAGAAGCACTGTGTGAAACGTGCTTGCAGAAACCCGGATGTAGAAAAATCCATCATCCAAAGGTGGAATGTTGCATTGCCCATGATCGCGCAGTCCACAAGCAACCGTGCGGCCATCACTTCGGAGAAGCACTGTATGGAAGCATCCTGCAGAAGCCTGCGTGTATGAAACTCCCTCAATCAAAGGTGGAATGTTGCATTGTCCTCCATTGTTCCACCACAAGCAACAGCGCTACCATCACTTCGAAGACGCACTGTGTGACACAATCCTGCAGAAGCCTGGGTGTAGAATGTTCCCTCATCTAAAGGCGGAATGTTGCATTGTCCATGAGAATTTAATCCACAAGCAACAGCGGTTCCATCACTTCGGAGAAGCACTGTGTGTTCTGCTCCTGCAAAGACTTGTGTGTATGACAGTCCATCGCTTAAAGGTGGAAGGCTGCATTGCCCATTGATATTCTTTCCGCAGGCAACAGCACTGCCATCACTTCGGAGAAGGACTGTATGAGTCATGCCTGCAGAAACCATTGGCACATGCTCAGTGCGAACGTCGCACAAATTTGACCTCTTGAGCAGGAAACAGAAACTTCAGGCTTCGATTGGGGGTCGTGGTTTGTGATGCTTGGTGAACTGGACCCAAGCACAGATTTGTAACCTTGAAATTTGCCAGGCCAGGACAGCCATTCCCTGGGCCTTTGCAGGGACATCATCCAAGTCAGGTTCTTTCTGGGACACCTGGAATTGATTCCGCCAAGTAGATCATGCGATTGTAATGGACACGGCAACTTGCAGGTGGACACAGTCATGTGCACCTCTTTCTTTTTCAAACCGCTCGATTGGCACCACCAACCTTCCTTTGGACTAGCCTTGTCTTTCTTTATCTTTATATTATACTGTCTTTACTTGTTTAATCTTTTTTGCATGTCTTCCGGATGTCACCCCTAAACATGTACCGTAAAAGATAGTGAATTCCTACCTACGGTATCGGTATCCTACGGTATGCCATGGTATGCGTACCATAGACTACCCTTTGTATCCCTTGACTCGACTCTTTTGTAAAACACTCCCCCCCAAAAAAGAGCTCTCTATCAGTGCGAAAAAGAGATCCCGCAGAGTGTACCGATGCTGGGTGGGCGTACCACGGATGCTTTGGCTCGCTCGTTCTTCACGATGTCCAGGCAATAGATGACCTGGCGCCAGAGTTCATGGAGAAGGTGTAGAGCCGGCGTGATTTTCTAGGCCAATGTTGCGTTCAATTGAAAGATGGTTTCATGAAATTTGACAATAAAATATGGCTTCAGTGACAAAGACACCATGCGCAGCGCGCATGGATGTCTGCCATCCGTAGTAAGTAGTTTGATCAACTTACAGTGGTTTCAGAGTAGATGGCACAGTTCCCCCAAAAAAGGTTGTTTATTTGGACCCACTTACGGACCCCCATCTAAACGACATGTAGGGGGTGTAGGGGTGCCATCTACTCTGAAAACACTGCAACTATTCAGTCTCCCGGACACTCCTCGAAGTCCATGGACTACCGGTGCCAACAGGGACCATGGTTCAACAGGGCCCATCTTCCAACTGTTCAACACATCTTGCTTGAACCAGCCAAGTGTTTGTGGCAAATCAACAGCCAAAAAGGCACGTACCTGCTGTAAACAAGTGACACCCATTTTAATGCAAAACGCAGTTTTTTGGAGCATGTTCCAAATGTGACAGGGATGTGTAACAATGGGAAAGCCAGGCGATTGTGTTGCTGCTCAGGGTACAGGGTGCAAAGCCAGGGCTTCTCTTGTGTCTCATGACTGGATATTTGCAAGTCGTTTCCATAACGCCCCTAGTTTGGAGATCAAGCATCTTTCCCCCGACCAATTTGCCCCTTTTCAGACATGGTGGATCTGCAATGATCCTGCCCCAAGAAATGTTGCTTCGAGGCACCCAAATCTTTGTACGCTACAACCTAAGCCTCCATCTGATACACTTGTTGTTCTGTATCGAAAACCGAAGAACACAACGCATAAAATAGCGCTCAGTGCTTCAGGAAGTCTACTCAGAAATCACTGGTGGGTGGCTTCAACATGTTTCAACTCAATTGACACATATTACAGTTACAGTTACAGTAGATATCAGTAGATCATATTAATTATATATAAGTCTTTAAGTCAGTGGGTTCAATCATCCCAAGATATCCCAAGTACAGGTTGAACATCAAAATAGCTGAAACGAACCCCCCCCGAGATCGTCGTTCCGAACCTCGGTGCCCCCGACTCCGCATAGAGTCTACTACGCGGTCCCGAAGGAGCGGATTTGCGGAAGAGTCCCACCCTCCACCAGCCTCTTGTGTGTCTAACTCGCCATCGTGGTACATCTGAGAAAAGGCCTGTGATCAGGCGAAGCTGTGAGAAACGCTTCGAAGCGGGGTCGATCGCCACCACGCCATTTCGCGGTTAAGCGCGGTTAAGCGCCGGTGACATGGAACGACCGGACGATCGGACGGGTTTGTCTTGAAGGGGTTTGTCTACTGTGCCAACGCGCACTCGAAAGAGAGAGCATCAAAAAGAGATGGCAAATCGGGCTGGGAATAGTTCATCCACCATGTGAGAGGTTGGTGAAAGGGCAACTTAGTGAATTGTGAAGCCCAATGGCTTGATGGCTTTAAAGAAACTTGGTGTAAAGAACGGCTAAATCTGAAAGTGACCCAAGGAAGCAAACATGGTCCTTCAAAAGTACCGCAAAACCTGACCGGTTGGGAAGTCTGCACCTCTTGGAATCGGAGGTCGGGTCCATCGTCCCCTTCCCAAGTGGAGAATGGACCGGACAACCTGAAAGACCGTCGTCCCGGTCTTCCTCTCCAAACCAAGTGGTATGAGCCACGACTGGTCCCGTGGCTTCACATGCCTTTAAGAAGGTCTTCAGCGTTCGAACCATGAAGGGCTCCGTCACCTTGCAGCCCAGCGGAACGCTGAGCGGTCCCGGGAAGGCCAGCAGTCCCGGAAGGCCGGGAGCAGTCCGGGAAGGCCGGGAGCTACAACACATATGGGACACCTCTTGGAAGGTCCAGGCCCAGGTATGTCTGGGTCTGATGTGCATCGGTTGGACAACAGGCGATCTGGGAATGAGCATCGGGGAGCTGATCACCAAAGTATCCCAAAGGTAAAATAGTCCTGAGCTTCCTTGAGCTTCTGTTCCATCCATAAACTGACATTGAGGAGCAGCTATTATTTCATCACATCCAGTTTCAGCAATGTTGCGCAATCGTTAAATACAGGGTTGCATCTAAATCATGGGCCTATACAAGTTGAATCCTCTTCGTTGAACTAAATCAGGTTTCCCTTTATTAATTGTTGTGAGAGACTTGGCACAAAAGCCTGACTGATCAAGAAGGATTCTAAAACGTCCAAGTAGCTAGTTCACAGTCGAGGATCTCCGCCAAGATCTTCACGTACCTTGCGGTCAGCTGTGACATCCTGTAAACAGGTCTTTTCTTTCTAATTAAACACAGATCCGCAGATTCAAACTTAAGGTGGTATGAATACCAGTGGTATGATACAGTGTCGAAAGCTGGAAGGCCACAACATCCATAGATTGGTGTAATATGACCATCTATGAAGCATATTATATATACAGATATATATATATAAGTTGGTTGGGGAGCGGACACCAGGGATCCTGCATCATCCTGCTGTCAGCAACCATGCCGCCAGGCCCAGATCACCTCTGCACCTCTTTCAACGGCAGGGATCAAAACGCATGCCGCAGGCGTTGTTAGTCGAACATCCGATGCACACGGCATGCAGGCAGCAGGCAGCGCACTTCGGAGAGACCAGCGGCATCTGGGATTGCACATCGGTCTGAGACTCTGCCTGTGGCGACGGAGACCGGCGACGGTCTCGCCGGCGCTGACATCGGGTCGACGACGGCGACATGCAACACCAAACTTCGTCAGATCGCTGAAGGTGAGAGGTTTAGCCGTATTGTCGAACTTGGTGAACTTCATAAAACATGCAAAGAGCAACATCATAATGCTTTCAATATCCCTCTGAACACTTTACTTTTTTCTGGGCATAGGAGCACCGTGTTGACCGGAATTGTATCACTATATATTATACTAACCTCCCCAATAGACCAGACAGAAGGCGCTTTTTAAAGGGCGCCTGCAAAATGCGACAAAATCGGATCGGCTTGCCTCATAAGACCAAAGGACTCGGTTGATTCGGAGCTTAATGTGCTCTTCATTCCTGGCAGGCACATGCAATCACGCATCGTTTCTTGATGCGGGAGGGAGCTTCCTCCAGGATGTGCTGTTTTATGCTGTTTTCAATCTGTTTCATATGGCCAAACCTGCGTGACCTCACCACTCGAGGAAAAAACCTGGCAAAAGCATGCCAGCTCGACGTTGATCTTCTGCAGTGGTTCAACAGCTGCGCCTGGTTCAACGATCGTTTGACCCATCCAACTGCGGGTTTTGTGCACTGGAAAGCGCACTTAGATGTCTAAGAGATCACTGTAAGACATCAAACATGTCAACACATGATGACCATTCTCCCCATCTTCCATTTGTAATTTGCATATAGGTTCTATCTTCTGTCCGATCTACCTGTGAAAGACGTTTACAACATCGTTGAGTTGGTGCTTAATCCGCCCAATACCTGACAAACAAACCTTTGCACCACTGGATGTGTCAAAAAAACAACGTCGAATTGATCGTCCAAGCGGGTGTTCTGTGTATGTTGCATCCCTTCGGCCGCCACTTCGCTTCAACCGCTTTGAGGACCCGCGAATGGCGGGAAAAGACCCGTTCCCCCATGCTTTCCAGGCATGTCCTGGTCTAACACATGAATTCTCTGGGCTATGTTGCCAAGTCTTTTGGTGACTTTCGATCTGAGGATCCTTAGGGTATTCCCTGAGAGTTAGAATATATGCTATACTATTGACATATACAGTATACCTACCATACAACCAAAAAGTGAATCTGCTTTCACATGTTTTCACCCCTAGAAGCTTTCCAATTAGCCAAAAACAGTGGCTTAACTAGTGAGGCATGCTACAGCTGCAACAGCGAGCTACAAAGGAGAACTGACGGCTCAGGAGTCGCCTGAAAAAGCTGTGGGTTTTGGCGTCTCAGCATCGTCTCAGCTCATCTCAGTGCCGGACGAAGTAGTCATAAAAAGGATGTTTCCAGGTGGTTTCATTGGTCCTCAGCGCAGAAGGGAAGGCTACCAAAAACATGCCAATCCCTCTTTCAATCTTTTTCAGAGGATGCAGTATCACTTACAGTATGTCATCTATTGTCATCTTATGCCAGGGTCAATCCATGTCAATTCCTCAACTGAAACTCAAAAGCTCCGGGCCTCGGCTTCATGTCGCCTCGGCCTCCAGGCCTATGCTGACGCAGCAGCGCGCTCGGCCCGCGCCCGGTCCAGGCTGGGCTGCCGCGCTCGTTGTTGAGGTAGCAAACCACCGAGCCGACCCCCTTGAAGGAGGTCCAGGGCTCGGGCAGCTCCACCTCTGCAGCGGGGGCTGTGGTATTTCGGAGGATCAAGAGATGCCAGTTTTGCCAGTTTTGCAGAATGCCTAAGCGCCATACACATTGTGCCCCTGATAAACTGACCTCGTCCTTTCAATCCAACGGCTGCCAGCCCGACGTCGCCAGGGACTCCCATGGACACTACGAGCCATTTCTGCTTATACTTCTAGTGCTGCAATTGTGAGAGCTGGTCACCACTCTTATGACACCCATCCCGAACGAATGACTTCAACATGCATGTGGAATCCCAAAAATCGTGGCAACACAAAAGAGTGAAGGATATGAAGGCCTTGAGTTATGTTGAGGTCATCTTCCCTCCTTTCTGGAAGCAGATGAAGCAGGGCCTAAGCATGGTGGATGAAAAGTGCACCCTACCCTAAGTACCCCGCTCCCTCTTCCAACACAGTTGACTCTCGTCGTGCCTCAGCGAAGCTTTCGACCACCCATCCTGGGTCGCTTCTCTCCATCACGCGACGCGCGGTACCGCGCGACGCCTCGCGCGCGACGCCTCGCGCGATGCGCAGCACTCTGAATCGCTCTTTCACCGAGCCGAAGGAGTTCCAATCGGAGCATCGTGGCAGGACAGCGGAACCGAACAGGTCACTTCTGTCAGCGGAACTGCACCGAACACGTCACGTGACCGGGGCGTGACCGGTTTGCCAAACGTGACCGGTTCGCGACGTTCATGTCACAAGGGCATCGCGGCATCGCCGTTCGGACCATTTGCCTGGTAGCTGTCCAAAGGATTGAGAGGTCAAACGACCGATGTGGGCGAGCCCCAGAGATGGACTTGACATTAGCCCAGTGATGGCTGACCTTATGGTATTCTCATCTACTCAGGTGACCTACAAGAATCATGCCACACCCACCTGCATCTCAGCGTGCCACGCTGCTGGTAGAAACCTTTGCAGGCCAACTCCCTTACACCTCACACCGCCATCGCCCTGTTCGTCCAGACCAAGTGACTAAAGGGAGCATCGCCCTGTTCGTCGGCGTTCAGGTACCTGAGGAATCAAGGCAAGGTATATTGTGGAGTGTAACACCAAACCATTCCCGTGACGCCTGCCTCAGTGGGGTTTCATATGGTTTCATTCTTTATTGTCCAGAGTGATGCTACCCTGGGAGGACAACCTTGGAGAAGAGTCAGAACATGAAAGAACATCTTTAAGATGAATGTCAGGAGTCAGACTGGTCAATAGCTAGAGGATACCTTCTCTTCTTGCCACATTCAAATAATCGCCCTGAGATCGAGTCCCACAAAAAAAGCCAAGGAAATACGCACGTTTGGAGCAACTCCTGCGGATGCAAAACCTTTCAAGAGACAACACCCCAGACCTAATTATAGCCCAAAACATGTATGTTCAAATACCAGGGTGTGGGTCTAGAGAGCCAGGGTGTGGTGGGGGTCCCAAAAGGTGTTTGTCCTTCGGTGGACACCCTGGGCGCCCGTGCGAGAACCACTCTTCGATGCAGGGCCGTTGCCCCATACATCTCAGCATGGGCACCTTAGTGGTCCATGCTGTCAATGAGGCAAACAAACACATGACAAGGTTCCACGGACTAGCAAAAATGGACATAGGATGACATAGAAGTGTATCAATGGCTGCTGATCTTCACCCGGTTTCCTGATTCAGCCGAGGAAGAGCCTTGTGGTGGCTGATGTGATCATCGACGAAGGATGGAGCGGCAAGAGTTGAGAGTCATCGATCAACCCGCTCCAGATAGGTCTGGCAAATGTTGACTCAAGACTCTTGAAGAGTATCGGCGTATCGGCACAGAGTGTCAGCATCCAACTCTGCCAGCTATGGATCCAGCCACCAGTTCCAATGGATCGAGCCAGAGAAAACAAAAATATATAGCGCCACTCGACCCTCCACGAGGTTCGTCACGAGTTCGTGAAGCAAATCAAACACATGATTACATCATGATTACATCATAGAACCCATTTGACCTTCTTTTTGGTCGGAAAAGGGCAATATTTTGGATAGGTACATGATGGTACATGATACCCAGCCGTGACCTTCAAGAAAGGAGAAAAACGGTGGACCATCCATGGGTCTCACCATGTCTCCACCGTGCTTCACCGTGTCTCCACCCAGCTTTTGGGCATTCTGTGAGAACAAATACTCAGCTGATTTCAGGAGAGCTTCATACCATTTTCGAGATACCCCATGATATCCCTGTCAATCTGCATGAAGTCCCATTTTCGCTGCTTGGTCTATTCTATTCCAGGGACAAGCTGATGAAGCCTTTACCCTTCCGTAGGTCAAGCATGGTCAAGCACTGGCCGGCAAAGCAATTCAGAGATGTAAGAAAGTTGGTTTTAAACACCACAAACACAAAGTTACCCTGCTCCCGATGTCAATGGTCAAATTGTAGGGGTCCCATCTGGTAACATCAAGAACGCACACTTGGCAGGTTCAAATGCCTCTACACCAAACCAAACCACTGGGCCATCCAAACCACTGCAGTCTTCTCTAACGCCCGCTGTGTAGCGGGATCCTGGGCAACGTCGCATTCATCGCGGTGAGGCAGTCTTCATCGCGGCTTCAGATTTGGATTTTGTGTGCCTTTTGATGTATTTTGTGTGTATTGTAGTAGGGAGACCCGAAACAAATGGGCTTTGGTCTAATTAGTTCCCATCTTGCAGGGGATCTTTTTGGGAGGTTTTTCTTCTACGACTCTAGGAAGCATCTTCCAAACTCCCCAATCCACAGTCTGTCAGCACATGTGAGCACACACAGTTGAAAAGAAAGATTCTGCCACTCCCCCGGTGCACCAAGCTGCGCCCTTCGCCACTTGGACCGGAAAAACCTCTGGTTCTCTGGGCTCTCCCGGCTGCGATGCCGAAGAGCCACAAGGGATCCGCATCCAGGAAGTTCAACGCCTCCTGAAAAGGAGAGAGTGATTTCTCAGATGGTGTACCTGGATCCCATGGAGAAACATGGAGAAACTACCGAAACGGCCAAAAAACAACCGAAGAATTCGTGGTGGGTGGGCGCAAGGTGAAACTGCATACGTCTCTCGAGCAGCAGCATTTTCTCTGGCACCCTTGGGTGCCCATGTTGCCACATGAATCGTCTCACGTTGAAGCGCGCACGGCGGCAGCAGCACCTTGGAGACGGATACGTGGCGTGGAAATGGTGCACACCTCCCACTCGGTGTCAGTCAATTGTTTCATGTTTTTAGTCCCTTCTCATCGGTGCTTGTAGGGGGTCCGACCCCGGTTTGTCATATATCCATCCAACTCACATCCACACCCCAAAGATAGAATGTCTATTATAGTGACAAGTCAAGTGGGAAGCCCTTTGAGCTCAATCTGGCCATTGCCTCTCGATAGTTTTGTCCGTGTGTTGTAAACCAGCCGCTTGTCAGGACTGTCCCAAGGAAGGGGGACCAAAACCATGGTTGAAAGAATTGATAGAATATACTAATATGTAACAAATATACACACGGAATTGATATACATGCATGTGGTTTTACAAGAATTGATATACCCTGTGAGTCCGGTCCACTCTTAAGAAACGGCCCTGTAACACCCCGAGTCTAGGTGGTCCCAAAAATAGTCTTTGGACTTCTAAACATGCGTGGTTTCAATACCATATTGCCTCTTGGTGAGTGAGTCGCAAATTTTTCGTCCATCGATTGAATTGTAGAGTTTCTCCTCCACTCGTCAGTAAGCAACATATAATTAATTAGTAGGCCAAATCCCAACTGGTGCTCTACTTCACTGATTCACGCACGCGACGCATGAGTCTCTCCCATGTGCCAGGCCGCCCAGTCATCAAAGGCTTCCCTGTGCGGCTCGACCGTCAGGGGTGCAAAGGAGATCCTCAGGTAGAATGACGGCGTCGAGCAAAGGGGGACGAGTAATAAAAACAGAACTGAAATGAACAGAACATGGCAAACCTACTAAACTCAGGGTGCCAATTTAAGTAAACATGTAGAAACGTCCCTAACAAAAAGCTTTGATGCCTTCTAATTATAAGATCAAAAAAAAACGACGAACTGTTGAGTTTCAGGTCTATCGCAAGTCTACGACCAAGGTGGATCTCCGGGAGATCCTTAGTCCATGGAGTGGTCCAACTGACTGGTCCAACTGAGTGTTTCATGCGTCGCACCCCCAAACCGTTTTCGGCATGGCATGGGAAGCGTGGGAAGCGGGGAACTCACTGACCGGCGGCTCCACTACTGGTATGACGTATGAATATAGAAAACATCGTATCCTGTAAAAGTTGGAGGTGCAAGGCTTTTGACCATCACTGACCACTGATGTGTTTTTGTTGATTTGGTTTCTGGACCCACAGCCACATTAATCGATATGATGGGCTGCTCAGAGCTTTAGTGTGCCACACAAGTTTGCCATCTGCTGCGGTCTTCGGTATTGCACATGCAGAAATGGACCTCCCTAAATCGATTGGGTTGGGCGATGGTCGGTTGTGCAAATGAAACCCAGCAAAGTCCCTGCAATGAAGGCTTCCCAATGGCACAGCAGAAAACAACCCTTCGCCCCCCGCTAAGCACGAATGGTAAAACTAGCCACACATAAGAAGAGCCAATCCAGATCGAGTCCAATGAATCTTGGCTTCGATTGGATTTGCATGGGGGCTGTCGAGTGTGTTGATCTATCAAATTCAAACTCTATGTAAGCGCGCATAAACATAATCAGATATCATCAGTTTGTATAAGCTCCCAAACTACCAGCACAGAGATTACAAGTCCTTTTCAACACTACACAACCACATCACACCACAAGCTCAACATCATGAAGTTGCTACAACTATCCTGTTTGTCATCACCTCATTCGGAGACACATGAACAACCATCCAGTGGAAGTTGAGATGGTTTCAAGACCAACAATTTATTTAGGTGTTTCATGGTGTTTCCATGCTCCCAGTATCTCCCGTTGCAAAGTACGCCTTGGATCGGTTACCCTCTTGCCAAAATGTTCTATCCCAAAGACAACAGAATACAACAAAACCAACAAAAATCAGACACAAATACACACATTTTGACCTACCCCGTGATTGCCTGACATCAAACTCATAACTTACTATTTTATAACTTCAATGTACTTTAGGGATCTTTAGGGTCTGGGTGGGCCACTTTAACTGTCAGGCTCATCACATACCCCCAGACTACATCTGGAACTATTTATAAAATAGATGGGCTGCCTGACAGGAAACAAACCTCCCAGACCCTTAGCTTTGTTCACCTCTTCTTCGATCAATCACAGGACAATGCACCTTTGAAAGAAATAACTGCTCAGAGGGTCGTTCAACCTCTACCTTCTAACGGATCTAACGGCTCCTGTGAAAAATTACAAAGAGACCAGCCGCAAAAGCTGATCCAGCACGAATTTTTCGCGGGCTCAAAACAGTGAGGTCCAGTCAAGTCGATCTATCCACCCCTAAGATCTGCAGAGACCTCAAGCCAAAAGCGCATATCTACTCACGAGATTTCCTTCCAATACAAAGCTCCGGAATGGTCTGGCGGTCTCTGGGCCCTCGAACGTGAGCAAGCGGCCAGTTCCAGGCTTCAATAGCCATGCGATGCCGCGCAGGGCCTACAGGCTCCGACAGCGCAAGACGGGTCTCATGAGAACTTGTGCGCATGAACATGCCATGCGAAATTGACCTCTTTGCGGAAGCAACTGCTGATTAGGGTTGTGACACTGGTTGTGACATGTTAGGATGAGCCACGGCCACAAGTTCTTGTTTGCCGGGAAGTTTCGCCAGCTTGCCAAAGTGCAAGCAAAGCACGTCTGGACGTCGGGCGATGCCCATAACACGTCTCACCTGGTACAACCAGGTCTCAGCGGCAATAAAACAAATCCGCCATGTCTATCCTGATTTAAGCTCAAGAGTTTTAACCAATGAGGTAGCCATGAGAAATCCCACTTCAAGATGTTCAAGTCAACGAAAAAAACAACAACATGTCTTTGGGCTCCACTGGTTTAATCCTTCTTTCACCCCTTTGAACAACCTGTATAAACCCTTTGAACAACCTCATTGGAACCCCCCTCAAAAGGACGGAGACCAAGTCTGAAACGAATCCACCGACGTCCCGCGCGCCTCGCGCAGGGACTCAAGGCCTCGCTGCGCAGGGAAGCGACACGCCTTGACCGCGGTCGCCACGCTGCGCGGTCGCCACGGACGGCGGACGGCGGGCCGTCGCTTTGAGGCGGTTTCCAAGAAATTGTTGGGATCAGGAGGCTAGAAATGCTCACATGAGTAACTCTCAAAGTCACATCGGCACTTTTGGGGTCCCTCCTCACAAGCCAGTGATCCAGTGAACAGATTTATCATGTCCCTTCATTTGTAAAAACTCTCGGGGCAGTTGACCGAACTCCACTTCTTCACTTGTTGAAGATAACGCTATATAGTGCAGCTATATTTCTCTCTGCACTTCCCGCATCTCACAGTCCAATTCAGCCCAATGGCCAAACCATCCAGGACATTCTCGTCCACCAGCACGTCAAAGGACCCCGGACTTAGCACCTGTCACCGTGCGGACTCACGTTCGATTCTCCGGAGAAACCGAAGGACTCGCACGATGAGGTTTTGTTCGACCATCGCCACGGTGCCCGCGGTACGACGGGGGAGACTTCGTTCGGGAGAAGGTGTCGGACCAGAGGATAGCACAGGCATCTCGGTTCAGATCTCAGGGGTGTCCCCGGATCTGGGGTCGGCGCATGATGGCCGATGGTTGAAGATGTTTGGGAACTCAGAAGCAGTCGAGTCCAAGGAGGTTCCGTGAAGCAGCAAGGTTCAAAGGTTCTCCGTGCCAATCAATCATGCATGCCACATGTAAAGCCAGAAAGGATTTCCATGACTTCCATGTTGCAACAACCAAATTCCAGGAGTCACAAGACGGGGTGGTCTTTAGTCCCATCCAGTGAGTGTCTGTGACGTTCGGGCACCCCGATTTCCTCCATGGATTACACCCCGTCGAACGTGACTGCTGGCTGTCTCTGATTGTTTGAACTTCCAGTCGGAAAGGACCAGACATTCTTTCGTGACTGCTGGCTGTCTCTGATTGTTTGAACTTCCAGTCGGAAAGGACCAGACATTCTTTCTGCCACGTCTGCCAGGTGGATGTCTTCCAAAAAGCACTGCCACGTTTACAAATGGCTGATCCCAAGCAGTTCCATCAGCTTCATTGGATCGGTCTAAAGATCTGAAAATGGATGAACAATTTTCGCAGGAAACGACGACAGGAAACCGCCTCCTCATCCAATGTTCACATCCAAAACTCATCCAAATACCATGGATTTCTGGAGAAAAAAAGCCGATTTGTCCGACCATGTCCCTTCAAATCTGCGATGCTTCGCTCCTTCTGCGAATGCTTCGTTCCGAATCGGAGCGAATCGTCCGGTCACCGAAATCGGATGGAGGAGTCGGTCTAGTTCTTCATCCGCAACGATGCAGCTGCGCATCGTTGGTGGGCTTTTTCAGTGGCGAGACATGGCGAGACTATTAGGTTTTGATGTGTTCTTTTATGTTTAAAGTGTTTTTGAGGCCCTTCTCATCACCAGAGCGCCCCAGTTCCTGAGAATAAGTGAACACAAAGTGAAGTTCCGGACTCCTAGTCACCCACGCAGCGCCTGGTGATCTCGACCACGTCTTCGTCGCAGGTCCTCGGTTCAGTCAACAGAAGAAGCCGTTGGCTTCAGCTGATTCTAGCATATTCCAGCAGATTGCTGAGGACAAGGTGCATGGCTTAGCAAGATCGAATTGAGTTGCCCCCACCACCGCCAGAGGGCCTTTCCTGGCCTACCATGACGACCGAACAAGAAAAACACATGGCGCAACTCCACGTTCCTTTCACGATCTTCCATCCTTTTGGTCCTACACGTCCATCTCAGACGACGATCACCCGAATCGCTTGCTGCCTTCTCCGTCACGCTACCGGCGACGTCTGCACAACGCACGGCCGCTCCGTCCTCTGTTTCAGTGTGGCATCGGTACGTGTGGGCCAAGGCACCGTAATGTCCGCCTGCACGAAGAACTGGGGCCGCCGCGGCAATGACCATGCCATGGCCTCGGTCGTGGTCGCGGGGGTGTGGCGGGCCCGGGCCCAGAACCTCTGGAAGGTATGCATTTGTGGTGCATGGCATTGTGACAGAAAGGGGAATACCTATAGGTATAAATAAGTATGTCATGTCAGATTGTGGGATAAGGGTGGTGGTTGATGTGGTGGCCAAGCCTTCCGTGAACTGTAGTTTGTACAAGGTGTGTTGATGTATGTGGCTCTCATGACTCATGACTTGAAAGGGATGGAAATGGTTGCTGCAAGTATTTCAAGTCTAGCTCCTAAAGGCACAGGATGGCACAGGTATCTGTTCTGGGGTCCCACCACTGAGATCTACCAAAATGCATAAGATGTTGTGCTTGCACAGTAGATGTCCTTCAGTTCAAAACTGTCGCAATCAGATTTGTTTCTGTCAAATCCATCCCATAAGTTCCAGCTTCGCGCAAAGCGTTTTGCACGGGACAAAACGTGGGATGAACGTTCCCAATTGTTCCTTCCCTTCGTGCTGTCCTAGCCGGTCTTCGTGCTGTCCTCCGTTCCCCTTCGATCGCCCCCGTCACCGCGTTTGGGTTTGCCGTGCGACCGGTCACGGCGTTCCAAACCGTGACGACGTCGCGGTACGCGGTGGACGCGTCCACCCGGTGCGATGCCGACTCTGGGCCTCGAGGCTCTCCAGTAAGGTCGGTGACAACTCCATACATCCCGTCTTCACCTGGGCCGAACGCTTCCGAACGGCTCCGGTTTCGCTTCGCTTCGTGTGGATCTCCGCCGTGTGCTTCGAAAGAAGAATTTGGACAGAGTTCGGAAACCATGAAGATCAATGAAAATCACTGGGAGATAGTGGAAAGAATTAGGCAGGAACCTGAGGGATGCCCCAAGCTGAAAGAAGGAGCTCGGGGGGAACTACCCGTTCATGTCTTGAGATTGGTTGGCCCTTTTGACCTGTACAGTAACTATTGTTGACACGTTGAAAGGAGATCTGCAAATCTGATGCTCAATGATACACTCCCGATATTGAGGGTGAATCCATGTGAATCCGTTGCTTTTTGAGTGATTTGATCTTTAACGACATGTATGAGCTATGCATTCTAGTTTCCTGGAGGTCTCTTATGGGCGCCTCGCGATTTGGAGACACAAATCAACAACAAAGAACTACACCGTCGTTTGTGCTTTGGTTGTACTTCTTAAAACAGATTGTCTTTAAATTCTTCTTGTCCCCAATTCTTCCTCAGCTTTCCCCACCTTCACTGCAGGGAACCTCACTATATAATTCCAAAACATGTTTTGTTTTTTTCCGGTAGGAAGCGTGGAAACCAACATAACATGAGTGCTTCGAACATTGAAGGCAAAGACATGCAAGACCCTGAACCGACCGAGAGGAGAACACAGGAGAACTCTTCCAGTACATCTCGTAAGAAGCAAAAAGTAAAACTCATTCAATGGGTGTTGTCTCTCAACCAGAACATGAACATCGCTTGAAAAGGATTCACAGGCGAACAAGGTGGGCTGTCGAAACATGTCGAAACAACCATTTTGGTGGGACGAACATCTATACTACTGACTAGTAACTTAGGACTTGTCGGACATACACGCCAATTCCAAAAGCCTATGTCATCAGGATTGATCCAACATTGGCATTTCCTCTTGAGGCCTATGTCATCAGGCCACAACCATGATATTCATAGAAATATGTATGAGGTATTCAAGGAAGCAACACATAGTCGCGCCCTATGTCACCACTGTGTCACCAGAGTGCCAGGCAGTGGTATCTAGCATTATTTAGCTGTTTTTTACATTTTTTGTCGAGGAGGTGTCCACAGGTCCTATGACACCAGGTTTCCCAACCCAGACATTTTTTTTGCTCGATATGTCAGGGCACATGACTTAGCCCTGGGGGTAGCCAGATTGGTATGTCACTTGCATCACGTTGGCCTAAGTCATTAGACAGTAGTATATGCTAATTTTGCTAAGACTCTCAAGATTCACCCAGGGTTTCTTCATGCTTCCACTTCAATTCGATCCAGCCGAAAACCGTAGGATTTGGTGAAGAAGTTCCGAACAAATCAGGAAATTCCGGGTCCCCACATTCAGCACACTGATTAATTTTATCTTCACTCCAGCAGCAGATTGACACCCCGCCTCACCCTTGTACTCACTCCTGACCGCTATACCACTGCGCACTCCGAGCGGCGAATGGCAGGCGATCCGCCAAAGTGAAAACCAAGGGTGAGAGACCACAGCCCAAAACCAGCACCTGTCAGACGGCAGTTTTGGCGCATGCCGTGTCGCGGGGGTTTCAAGACATCTACAGTACGGGTGCCGCTGCTCAGCTTCAGTGGGTTCTCGGTGCTGTCTGTATCAGCAGTCCCTTTGCAGTGACGTTGGTCCGACCCGGGTGACCTGGTGTTTGGTTGCATTATAATAAGCAAAAGAGAGCTAAAAAGAAAGAGAGAGACAAAAAGAGAGAGAGAGAGAGAGCGAGAGAGAGAGAGAGAGGCAGGAAGGAAGGAAGGAAGGAAGGAAGGAAGGAAGGAAGGAAGGAAGG